CTGGTCCCTCGGGAACAGCCACACTGCATCCAGGACAAGCCTGGAGGCCCCTTCCTCTCCTTTCTGGGACGGGTCCCAGATGACACTGCACCAGGGCTGGGCGCAGACAGCGCAGGATGGAGGGCGGGGACAGGCCAGACCATGTCTGCTGCCCGGGGGGCTGCACTCGCATGTGAGGGTGTTGGGCAGCTCACAGCAGCACCACTAAAGGCCTCCTGTGTGACACTCAGACGCCCCCGGGCCTGCTCCTGGCTGGGGTCTGGGAGGTCATCAGGACCAGGCAGGACCCAGCAGGACCGAGGCTTCTTGGAACCCACAGCCAGTTGCCAGCCCGCAGAGCAGGGAACCCCTGGGTAAGGGACAGGCAGGCAGGGATCAGAACGGGCCGGCTGGCACCCAGGGAGGCCCCGCCCAGCTACCGTCACTGCTGCTGGCCTTCTGGCCGGGCTCCTCCAGCCCCAGGCCGAAGAGATCCAAGTCGTCCTTCACTCGGAAGGCGGGAGCCGGGGGCCTGGGGGGCGGGGGCGCCTGGGCAGGGCCCGTGTCCTCGTCCGTCCCGTCGGAGAGATCCTCCCGCACCGGGAACTCGTCCTGGAGGAGCAGGCAGGTGGGCCCCCGGCCGTTAGGCCCTACCTTTTCCTGGGCAGGTGGCAAGGCTCCTCGAGGGCCCACACCTGACCCAGGGGAAGGGACAGCAGTGCCTGAGGGTGGCGGCCAGGATGCTGCAGCCCCTCCCCTCTGTGCTCTGGCATCACGGTGCTGCTGCTCAGCACGCGGGAGCCGTGCCCTCTGCCGTTCCGTCCCCAGGTGCCCTCGGCCCTCACCGCTCTCCGTAGTGTGTCCGAGTCGCTCTCAAAGTCGGGGTCATCCATGACAAAGGACAGCATCTGGGCAGCGATGGGCCCCTCGGGGTCGCTCTCTGACGAGGCTGCCAGGTGGTCCGTCCCGCTGGGCCCCCGCGAGGGCTCTGGGCGCTTGTGCGGCCTCGGGGCCTCCCTGGG